CTCCCACTGTCCCAGGCTGCTCCAGCCCCAATGTCCAGCCTGGCCTTCCTTGGGCACTGCCAGAGCTCCAGGTGCAGCCACAGCTCTTGGGCACCCTGTGCCAGGGCTGCCCACCCTCCCAGCCAGGAATTCCTTCCCAATATAGCACCTAAATCTCCCCGGTTTTAGTCAGAACAGATTTTTCCAGCCAAGCATCCCAGCCTTGCTGCTGCCGGAGCAGAGCCTTCCACAGCCCACGGAGAATTTTGGGCTATATTTTTGGAAATGGTGCTCCCTGATGGGAAAGAAAAGCTCAGCCACTTGGGGCTGTGCAGGGCAGGGGTTGCCAGGTTCCCTCCATCCCTAGGGATCACCCAGGCTCCCAGTGGAGAGATGTGCTGGCATCTCCCCCAGGCTTTGTGGGCCAGAGCGAATTCCTCCCTCCAGGGACTGTTTAAACTGGAAAACCCCACGATCCCTTGGAGTCAGGCCCTGGTTGCTCCATATCTCCAAAATACAGGATCCAGGAGGCTTTTTTCTCCTGACAGAATCAGCAATCCCTCGATCTCTCAGAGCAGTGTCAGATTCCAAGGGAAGCTGGGCTCTGGCTCCAGCCCTCCCCGTGGCATTCCCGATCCAAGGGCTCYGTCACGGCTCAATCCCATTGTTCTGCTGAGTTATCTGCCGGAACTCCCACCCCTGCCGAGTTTCCATCACAGATTTAACGCCCTCCGCACAAACCAGCCTCASTTTTATCCACAGAGGCCAATTCCCGCTGTCCCGAGCTTTGATAAATCATTATCAAGCTTTGATTATATTAATTCTGTGCTCTAAGAGGGGCTGTGCTGCAGGAAGAGCCTAATTTTCCGTGAGAGCTCCGCCTCCAGCTTTCCAAGTGCTTTCCGTGCAGCTCTGCTCAGCTCCCTGCTTTTGGGGATTTGGGAACAATGCCTGGCCGTGCCTTGTTTTTCCAGCAGTGCCGTTCCCTGGCAGCAGCGCTGGGCACGTGGATCCCCTGGATCAGGGAGTGGGAACAGCGAGCAGCTGCCGGCCCATCCCAAACATCTGCTGCCCTCCCTCCAGGGGGGCACAACGGGGTTTGGGAAAATGTTCGGATTTGGAGGCTCCTGCCTTGGGAAAGTGGGAGAGCAGCCGGGAGCAGCTGGTGCCGGGACAGGCTGGGGAGGAGGTTTGGGAGCTCCCTGAGTGCCCGGTTTGGCTCCGGCTGGAAACTGCTCCCTGCTTAACCCTATAGGATCTAGGGTTCTTATAGGATCTTAACCCTATAGGAACTGCCTTGGACAAAACTGCTGTGGCCATCAGCCTCTGCCAGCTCTGCTCCTCCATTCCAGGGATAAATCCCTTTGCCYGTGGTGTTACATTCTTGGGAGAGGGAAACGTGGAATTGTTTCCCTGAAATAGGAAGGATTTGACAGGTTTATATGAGGTTTATACATTTACATGAACAAATTTTTAATACTCGCATGATACTTTATATAATTCTCAGCAGAATTTTATAATATTGATTTTTTTATATGGAAAATTCTGAATATTTTTGTGATATTTTGGATGTTTCTTTGTTTGATCAGGAATACTGGAAGGGACACATTGTATATTGATATATATATATAATTTCATATATATATTATATATATGTATATATATTTTATATATATATAAATTCTGAGACATTTCTGTAATATTTTACATATTTTCATGTAACTTTGGGTACTATAGATGAGCTGGTTTTCATATTTGAGTATTTATTTTATATATTTCTCTATAGAATCACTCAGGTCTCCAAGCCCTGCCCACTGCCCCCACTCTGGCACCTCACTCTTAGAACTAAATTCCACATTTTTCCCACTTTCTTCCAGTCTCTCTCTGGCTTCCCATTGCCAGGAACATCCTTTGTGCCAYGGAGGAATTCCTGATTTTCCTTGACCAAGGCAATTCCGAAACACAGAAACTTGAGTGTTAGCACGGGTGGCTCTGGTGTCCCGGTTTTCCTTTGCATCAATATTTTTGGAATTAATAGTCCTGATGGTGATCTAAAATTTAAAAATTCTGTATTTTCCACCTGTTTTCTAAAATTCCTCAAATACCTGGGCCRGAGCTCAGGATTYSTGAACGGTTTTCCATTAAACCTGCRTGTAAAAGGAAAAGCCAGGATCCTGCCTCACCAGACAAAGCATTTTGGGACCGTTATCCCTGATTTTCATCCGAGGAGCCCCAAGCTTTCCCAGCGCAGAGCTGCTGGGAGCGAACCCTGCGGATCAAACCGCCCCCACCCCCGGCTCCATCTGCCCCTGGGTCCCGCATTCCTGCCGGCTTTTCCTACAGCTGCTGCTAAAAATAACGGAGGCACGCGGCTGCGCCGGGGCCGTGGGCTCCGGTTGCTCCGGGGCAGCGCCCGGGCTCCGGTTCCCTCTGCAGAGCCCAACTCCTGCTCCCAGCAGAAATGTCCATCGGGCCGGGGGACACCCGCATGCAGCTTTGCTGAGATTTAACAGGGGAGGTTTTCCCCTAAAATTCACAATTCCTGAGGAAACCAAAACCTGAGTGTCTGAGGAGTGGCCAAAGCGGTGATTTCCATGTCTGAGCCGGTGTTTTCTGCATCCCATACAGAGTTTGGGCAGCTGACCTCGTTTTTGGCAGCTGACCCAAATGTTGCTTTTAAAGTAAACTCTTCAAATGGTTGCATTTGCCAATTCCGCAAGCACCTGAGCTTTCTCTTGCTATCACCAGGAGATGCAGCAGCAATATTCCCATTTTTAATATAAATACGGGTCCATGCTCATCACCTGGCACCATCTCGGTCAAAGGATGCATGGATGCATCTTTCCCAGGGGCTGAAAGGGAAGGTTTTCCCATAAAATTAATAATTTCGAAGAAACCAAAACCCAGTGGGTCCAAAAGTGGCTGAGCCAGTGATTTTCATGTCTGAGCTGAAGTTTTTGGCAGCTGCACCAAACATTGGTTTTAAGGATAAACTCTCCAAATGATTGAATTCCCAAATTCTGTARAAAACTTGACCTGCCCCCTCTGCCCCTTCCCATTCCCTCCTTCCTAATCCCTCATTTTTCTCAACTTTTGCTGTGTTTCTCTGCGTTTCCCACAGGAAGATTGTAGGGAAAATCGATGAGGATGGAGAYGGGTTCGTGACAGTGGAGGAGCTGAAGGCCTGGATCAAGTTTGCCCAAAAGCGCTGGATTTACGAGGATGTGGAGCGCCAGTGGAAGGGCCACGACCTCAATGAGGACGGGCTGGTTTCCTGGGAGGAGTACAAAAATGCCACCTAYGGATATATCCTGGGTAGGTCCTGGCTCTGGGACCGGGAGCCAGGGGTGGGATGGGATTGGGACGTCCCGCTCTGCTTCCCAGTGCGAGGATCGGGGTGGGGGAGAGAGAGCGGGATGGGCTTTAGGGKGATGGTGGAACCAGATTGGGATGGGCTTTAGGGTGATGGTGGAACCAGATTGGGATGGGCTGTTGGGTGATGGTGGAACCAGATCGGGATGGGCTTTAGGGTGATGGTG